GAAATAAATATAAAAATATGAGTAATAAAAATTAAATATAATTCTACTCTCAACCTGTGGGCAGTTACATGGGAAGATCTGCAGGGAGGAGAATGGAGAGTGACAGCGCACACACACACACACACACACACACGCACGCACACACACACACACACACACACACACAGACACACCAGAGTGGGAAAGGAACATATAGGAGAAGCTCTTCTGGTCTCAGAATTCTTAATTTATTTGGTTTTATCTTGCTGTTTCCTCTGTCTCTAGGATTAGCCTCTATTACTGTCTCTCAGATGTGAATGAGATTACCCTCCTATCACTGAGCTTCCTTTGCTCTCTGGCCTCCAATATTTAGTGGCTGTGCTCTGTGTGGGGTTGACACAAGAACCCACTGGAGTGGAAAAGCCCTGTGAGCTTCAGCTGCAGGGACCAGGAAAATCAATTTATATGGCAATAGCCTAGCAGCATTCCATCTTGACAACTATTAGAACCACCTGGGAGCTTTGACATTTATCCATGCCAGGCCTCACCTTGACCAGCTAAATCAGTACCTTTTTCAGGTAGGGCCTCTGTTACCACCCTTTACAAACTAACTCACTCACCCTCAGGGTGGTTTCTAATAGGACACCAGCGTTCAGAAGCGCTCGTGGAGAAGATTCCTCACTCTTGCATAAGGGCTTTAGAATTTACCACAGAATACTTATTTAGAAAATTTGAAGCAACACTTGTCCTTTGATTTTCAAATGAGAGGATTTTTTCTTAAAGAATGCATCGATTTCCCTTTAATTCATGTTTTCTGCCTTTTTGATGCTCTAATTTGTTTCTCTAATTTTTTTTACCCAAAATTGTCATAAATCAGTATTTCACATGTTCCTTCTTACATGTTTCGCAAATGTTCTGGAAAGTTTTTATTTTGTTTTGTACTTTGCTCTGTTCTTGGCTTAAAGTATGCATTGAACTGAGATTGTTGCTGCAATAGGAGGCACATTTATTCTGACTCAAAAGTGATTAGTTAATATGTTTCCTTTCTGGGAAACAGATGGTGAATTGAACATAGAGCTTTTCTTCTGAGTAGCTTCTCGAGTGGGGATTATATAAGAAATACTACAAAAGGACTACTCCATCAATAGATTTTACATTAAGGGAAGCCAAAAAAAAGTCAGAGCCAGTGAAGATGTTTTGTCACAGGACGTGGAGTCTCTCTGTGCCAGGTTATTTAGTGACTGACTCAGAAACAGTTTTTACTTTATCTGAGGAAAATCATCATAATTAAGTTGTCTGTTCTGAAATCGGTATTTTATTTTTTTATGATAGTCAGTGCTTAAGATATCTCCTTGAAAAGCCCAAGTTACTTATTAACAAACACAGGTGTTTAATAGTAAAAGTTACCATCTCTCATGAAGCTAAGAATGATTTTTTTCATCTCACACATAGCATTTTATATCTATGTAAAATATATATACGTATTATATATGAATCATTTTATAAAAATCTTGAGGGTATAAGGATTTATTATAAATAAGATTTGCCTTTCTATTGATGTACGTTTCTTCAGAGAGCTTTTTTCTCAGAAACCTTGGAGTCCTGACATGTTGCATGTTTAAGGACTTTTCTCTGGGCTCCTTGCCTCCTTCCCCAGCTGTTACTTAACCCTGGTTCTCTAATTCACTTATTTTCCTAAGTTACCTTGTGCTGGTATATTCAGCCTATCTAACAGTTGTGATATTTTCTCTTCTTTTCCTCAATTCAGTTGTCAAGGGATTTTTAAAGTCTCTCTGCGGCCTCACAGCACTAACTCCCAGTTCTGTGGTTGCCAAGGCTTTGTATTCCATTTGGTTTCCAGAGATTTATTACAGTGAAGCCGCTTTTAAGTCAAAATATTGATGTCTACAATTTTCTGGAAATTTAGACAAACATATGTATCTCTCCCCTTTAACTTGACTTTTATACAATATGTAAATAAAGCCAGATAGGCAGACAAATTTGCATTGAGGACGAAAGTTACAGTTTAGAAGAGCTTGCTTCTCAGTTTATCTTATGATGTAGTTCATCTTACAATGAAGTTTGATGAACTTTCGTTCATTTTACAAATGATTTGGAACATTTTGAGGTGAAGTGGAAATGGCTAATGTGATTGATACTGAAAGAGGGGAGATCATCACAAAGAAGAATATGCATTCCTGTCTTAATTTACAATTTACCTTGACTGTGTGTTTCTGATCTGCCTGTTGCCAGTGGACAGTCGGACACCATCGTCAAACCAGCTAGACAGGAAGGGTGGCAGCCTCAGATGCAGAGGGCCTTGAGGCCCCAGGCGTGTTCAGCTGTGCGGGAGACCTTTTCTAACCTGCTTTGAGAGTGTCCTCTGTGTGTTTATCACATTCTTCTGCCCTTGTCTTGTCAGCTTTCTTAGCTCTGCACTTGCCTTGGGTTTCTGTCTGTATCCTTTGCTTCTCTTCTGGATGCTTACTCTTTCCGCCTACGCCCTGAGGCCTGGCCTTGTGTTACGCCTGCCCTTTTTGTCTGAAAGCCTATTTCATATATTCTGGAAGCCCTCTTGCTCTGTTACGTATTTGGGATGGTCCTTGACATCTTACTGTGTTCTGTTGAAAAGTTCATGGTCATGC